GAAAAATAAACAAGACTACCCAAGAAATTTTGAGAAAAAACTAAGGTAACTTCTGTTCTGTGTATTAAAACATATTATAAACCTGCAATAATTAAACAGTTACTATACAGCAGTGATATAAAGAGTATAAAAGAATCCAAGTGCATTTGAAGATTTAATATATTGATAAAGGTGGTAATTCAGTCAGTGAAAAGATGTACTATTTAATCTAGGATTATTTCCAGATATTTGAAAACAGGTAAAGTTGGATATGTACCTCCCAACTTTTATCAGAATGAATTGCAAATGCATCAAACACACTTATAAAATTAATGCAAAAGTACTGGGAGAAACCTTGAGAGAATGCTTTTCTAACTTTGAGTCAAGTGAAAGCACACAATCCCAAAACCATAAAGCAAAATATCAATTCAGTTACATAAAAATAAATACCAGCAAAACCACCATCTGCCATGTGAAAAGTTAAACAGTAAACTGAGAAAACTGTTTGCAGTTTTTATCCTGAACAATGTTTCATAATGTAGAATGTGATCATTAAAGTCAATGAAAAACAAATACCGCAAAGAATGGCAATAGACAATACGCAGAAAAAAATGGTTTCCTTTTAGATATATTTTAAAATGCTTAAATTTACAGAGAAACTTAAGAATATACTGAGATTCTGCTTTCACTTAACATACTACCCAAACTTGATAACACATCAAGTTATCTAGAGTGTAAAGAGGCAGGCACTATTGTACATTGTTGATAGAAAAAGAAAGCTTTCAACCCCTCCAAAGGGAAGTTTGGTAACATCCATCAGAATTTACATTCTTGGGTTCTAGGATTATAGCTCACTAGTACGCACAGGCCCTGGGTCCAATTCTCAGCAATGCAGAAAGAAAAAGAAAAAAATTGCATTCTTACAATATCTTACTTAGAAAAAAACTTTTTTCTAGGAAACATGTAAGATTCCTTGACACACAGGCAAAATATCATTTGTACAGTGTTAATCACAGCAACTCTGTTTATAATATCGTAGTAGCAGCAGCATCCTGGTTATCCCATGGCAAAAATTGTGACGTGTTATGCAGCTGTAAAAAGGGAATGAGGAGACTCTGTGTGCCAAGATAGAAAGAGCTCCCAGACAGATCAGATGGAAAAGGTCAGATCCCGTGCAGGACATGGCATAAGTAACCACTGTGCTAAAGGTGGGGGAATGAATACCTAGAAGGGGAATAGCCAGGTCAAGTGGAATCTAAGGTTAGTTCTTTGGAAGTCTCCCTGGTTTGCTACTTACTACTGCTGCCATACCAGCATTTGTTATTTGATTTCTTGAAGATTCCCATTCTCTCTTGATGATTTGCCACTCTTTCTAAGGTCTAAGATGAAAGTTTAGTATTAATGTGCATCTCTCTCATGACCAGAGATGTTGGGTATTTTTTTCATATTAATTGGCCATTTGTACTTCTGAGAACTGTCTATTCATTTCACTTGCTTGTTTTTTGATTGGGTCTTTTAGTTGGGGGGCACCTTATTTTTTGAGTTCTTTATATGTTCTAGATATTAGTCCTCTGTCTAAGAAATAGCTAGCGATTTTTTTCCCTATTCTGCAAGTTGTCTCTTCACTCTGCTGAGTGATTCCTTTACTGTAAGAAGGCAAATTGTCTTTTCCTAGAGTAAATTTTTTACTTTGAACATTCACCATATAGTTTGATCACTTGTGATTTTCTATTACAACAGAAAGAATCGGAAAGCACTAACTCATCTGTGGAATTAGGTTTGTGTAAGGAATTAAAGTCTTGGAGGAATTGAGTTGACGGGGAATTGGAGGGAGTGGAGGGCAGATTTCAAGTATTAGCGGAAGTGTGGTGGGAAGAAGTGTCATGGCCTGGGGGCCTCCCTCACAGTTGAGGGCAGCAGCCTGTGTAGTTGCTACAGAACAAGACATGCTCTTCCAGATGTGCACACTGAGAGGAACACTGGACTGTCAGCAAGGATGCCTTCTTCCTTCAGAAGAAGAAAGGTCAGTGATGCCTGGCTTCACTGTTTCACAAAGTGATGGTGAACATCCCGGGCCAGCACAGGAGTGGGCAGAGGGGAGTGCAAAGTTGGGAGAAATGATGCTTCGAGCTCCCCTTGCCCTCCTTAAAAGGAGCAGGTAGCCTGAGCAGAGAGCAAGCCGTACCGGGTGGTCCCAGGGTGCTCCATGTCACACACTCAGTTAGAACAAGCCTCAGCTGACTTAGAACCTTCAGAATATACTCCTTTTGTGCAAAAAAGTAGAGTAAGGCTTTGAAAGAGCATGTGACGAGGGCTGAGACTTGGGCATTTTGTCCAGTTGGGGTGGTAGCTGGCTGGTGGTTGGTGGCTGGGGTGGTGTAAGAGTCAACCCCTATGAAGAGTCAACCCCTCTTTACAAGGCAGTGGAGTGAGACACAGGTGAGACACTGGTTTCAGAGCACAAGATCCTGGTCCCTTGAGAAAAACTATGTACCCTCTTCCTGTTTCCATTTACTTACTTCCTACGGTCAGCATAACAGCCAAGCATGTGCCATGGCTAACTCACTGATGATATTCAGGACAAGAATGTGGCTTTACATCAGGAGGTGCTTTCCACATACAGAAGCTTTGTTCTTGTTACTTCTGCAGTTAGAATTGTCACTGTGATTGCCATGCTTGCTGTGTGATCTTTGGAAAGGCAATTTTGGATTCTAGGGGCACAAAGGGGCATGTAACTCAACCAAGCCCAAGAGTCAGCCTACCACTGAAGGAACATTTGCAGGTAGGCAGACAGGACTCCCAGCTGCCTCCACTCGGATTCTTCATGAAGGAAGTGAAAGGAGAGATCTCAGTGGCCGTCAGCCTCATACACTTTCTCCTGCTAGTCCTTTGAGCCAGCCTATAAGCTGTGTGTTATCCCAATTTGACAGGTCAAGGAACAGCCCAGCAAGGTGACTTTACCAGAGCCATGCCACAGCTAGTGGCAAAACCCCAGGCTTCCTGGATCCCCGATGAGCATCTAGCCCTGCTTTCCCATCCTCAGCCAGATTTGAGTCTTGGCCACAAGCAGAGTCAGAACGGGAGTCAGGGAACCTGGCCCCAGGGGCTGGGCGTGGTTGACCTCAGTATTCTTTTTCCCATTTACAGCCATTTGCTTAGAGCAGCGCATTTGATGTGCTTTTTTTCCTCAAGGAGTCTTTCTGTAAGCAGAAACAGGGTCATGGAGGCAGGCAGATCCTAAGGTGCTCTCTGCCCCACCTCTGCATTCAGACAGGGTTCCCAGGAGTGGCTGGAGTTCAAGGCCACATGCCAACAAGCTCGTGAGCATGACCCCTCCTGATCCTGACATGCAGAGGAATGGTGTTCTTTGCAAGATCCGCTCCCCTCACTCCCAGCCCAGAGTGGCTGCTGAAAGAGGCCCAGGATGGGCATCTCTATCCCGACAGACTGGATTTTTCTCCAGGCCAAGGCCTGGGGTTTCTGGGCTTGAGTATAAGGAAATTCTTAACTGAAACCTCAGATTTTGCATAAGACTTTACATAGAATCAAAGTGTGAAACAGGCCACAAGGCAGCCACACTGACTGGGGCAGCACTGCCTCTCCCTCTCATTTCCTCTTCATCATCTATCCAAAGGTTAGCCCCCAGCTAACCTTTCCTTGAGAAGCCCACATTGCCTGCACCAGCTTTCCATGATCTCTGCAGACACTCTGCAAGACCCATAGTCCATGCCCTGCAAAGAAGCACCTGATTCTTAGGATATAATAGCTGCTTCCCTAATGTTATGGATTAAAAATTTGTGGTCAATCTAACACCAGCTGAATTAATTTCAGCATAGTGCTGAGTGTAGATGGCCCACCTGAGGAAAATTGCCAGTATAAAAAGAGACATGGAGAGGAAGAGCAGAGCATTATGGGTTCTCCTAAGCATTGTTGTTTGGAGCTGTTGGTGCTCCTGGAGAAGTTTGTGGAGCTTCTTCCCCATGTGAATTTAGTCATTATCATTGGAGGAGCTTGGGAGCTTGTTGTTGAGAATGGCTGAGATTTGCTTTGGGGAAGCTCTGATCCTTATGTTGAGCATCACTTCCTGGCTCTGGAGGGGAAGATGTTTGCTGTTTAATTTCCAGGAGAAGCTTGTCACGCTGACTTCCTGATGTGTACTCAATTGTTCTGATCATTGGAGAAGCTCAGGGCCTCATGGTTTGCTGAGGATGGCTATGGTACTTTTGGGGGGAGCCCTGATCCTTATTCTGAGTGTCACTTCTTGGCTCTAGTGTAGAACCCTCAACCTCCTAGCACAAATTCTTCACCCTGCTGGCATAGACTTTCTAGCTTTCACTGATGACCTTTGGGCCTTCCCAGTGCAGATCCATAAAACAGACTTGCATGAGTCCTTGTCATGGACTCTAGACCTCCAGTTGGACTCATTGGAGGCATTGTCATAGGTTCTAGGTCTTTAGCTGGACACATGCAGGAGCTGCTATGGGACTCAGACCCTTGGCTGAATTTTCTAGGTCTTTAATATTGTGGACAGATTTCATGCACTTTCTTGTATTTAACTCTGGGTGACCATCCTAAAATAATATAAATTCTGTGTCATGTATGTACTTGTTCTCCTTGAAACCTTTGACTATAACACCTGATAATAATATGTGTCAGCCTGGTGCTCTCATCTAGTTAACTAAGAAAGGAGGGAGGATCAGGTGCTCTTTTCTCTTCTAGCAGAATCTAAATAACTGGCTTTAATATATTAAACTGTTGGTGTCTTGACTTATTCCTGGCATGGTAGTAGCACTTCCCTTTTGCTGAGGAGACTCGAGGTCCCTTTAGGAGTTGATCACTGGGGGTTGAACAGCGTGGGAGAGAACCCCTAGACTCAGGTTGGCTTGGGATAGGTAGGTCAAGCCTCCTGCAGGGCTTTCTCTTCTGGAGATTTTCCTTGAAGATGTACACCTCTCTCTAACTCAAAAGATCCTGTCAAGATGATTGAGGCAGTAACTATGTGGCCTGGGTCTGTCTTACAGGGATTTGAAACTGGACAACATCCTTCTAGATGCAGAAGGCCACTGCAAACTGGCTGACTTTGGGATGTGCAAGGAAGGGATTCTGAATGGCGTGACGACCACCACGTTCTGTGGGACCCCTGACTATATAGCTCCCGAGGTAAGAACCATGTGAAAAGACCCACCTCTTCCTGGTGCCAGGGTTGAAGCAGGGCTCCAGTCTTGTGCACTGGGGTCATCTAGTGGTGCTTAGAGATGGTTCTGGAAAACCAGGATGGGTCCCAGGATGGAGAAATACGAAGGTGAAAGGTTTCTGGTTTCTCCATAAGGATGTGGTAATGATGTGGGCTTGGGTCATTGATTTTACTAATGAATGATCAAAATAAAGAAACACCATTGAAAATGGCAACCATTAGTTTTATCAGCCCTAATCTGCCTAGAGTGAAACCAGGAATTATTTGCCATTTCCAGTGTGGAGGGAATTCTGCATAATGGGCGTGCAGGGTGAAATAAGAAGAGGTCATTATAAACAGAGCCCAGGTATGTTCATATGTATCCTCATGGATAAGTTGCCTTGTATGAAAGTTCTTTGAATATACTGTTCATCATGAAGCATTTTCCTTGAGACCTTGCAGGTCAACCTTGACTAAATCAAGAGATACCTACTATGAATTACACTTAAGCTATGCTCCTTTGTACCAGTTTAATCAAAATGATCTTCATGGATGTAAGACTGGAAGGTAGTGCCAGGCCTGTTAAGCACTGTCCATCGTGGAAAGTCCATTCAGGTTTCATTTCCTTTGACTGGGTATTGTATCAGCACCTGCTAAACACAAACCAGTACAGGCCACTTTTCTCAAGGAATTTTTGTTTTAGGAGAAGTAACAGATAAATGAATAAGTAACTATTATGTTATAATAAAATATGGTATCCTCAGGGATCAGGGAAGGTGTCTTGAAATACCTGGAGGATAACTTAGTCGTAAATAGTAAATATTTCCTTTGGCCTAAGCAGGGCACAGATGGGATTCCTAAAAACCACAAAGAGAATCAGGACAGGGCCTGGGTAGGAAGGAGGAGCAGTAGCCCAGGGCTCTGAATATTTCCAAGACTGGGTCTGTGTTTCTAATCTGGGTACTCCCAGGATCCCGCTCACAGATCAGGGTCTTAATAATGCTTTTTGTGTGTGTGTACCAGGAATCAAACTCATGACCTTTAGCTTGCCAAGTAGGTACTTATGCCGCTGAGCTATACTCTCAGCTTAGTAATGGTTTGTTGAATGGATGGATGGGTGGATGAATGAGACCTTGCAACATTTTAACATAACCAAAACTAAGGGATGAAAACATCTTGGCCTTTTCATGAAGGGTAAATAGTATAGTATAAATAGGGTTTCTTAATGCTTACAGTAATGAATAAGATTAGAATAAAGGATCCAGGAACGTGGGCTTCATGTTATAGGATCATTGGCCCAGTAAGGGTTCCCTTGGAGGAGGGTCCTCATCAGACATGTCCCGGGAAAAAGGCAGGCCACAAAAGTACAGCTATGAAGGCAGAAAGCAAGGGACAGACAATTGAGAGTCTTCATAAACCAGAAGACACATTGGAGACCTAAACAGAGCTTAGGAGTAGAGATGGTGAAGTGTAATACGTAAATTCTCTTTACAAGCTTTTATCTTCTAACGGATCTGAAACATGACTGTTTCCCTGGTTAGCTTGTTCCTTTAGTGGGAGCCCTAGAGATTCAGCTTTCAAGAAGAAATAAATGAAAGCGAAGACACTCCATTTGGACTCACTTTTCTCATTTTCTTCATTTTGTGTCAGGAGAGTGCCCCATGCTTGTCCCTTTGTGAGTTGATGCCAGAGTCAGAGTGTTGACATCCTGGGGCCGTGGTTATAGACCCTGCCCAAGACAAACATTCACTTTACAATGAACAACACACCCACTAGCTTCCATGCAAGGAGGCCCTGCTGTGTTTATAGGGAGGCCCAGTCACTGTTCCTTCCTGCCCTGTCCTTCATGCCAGTGTGAAGAATTGGCAGGACACCAAAAAAGGCAAACCATCCCTGGTCTTCTGACAGGCAAGGAACAGCTGATACCGCAAGGTATGGCTGCCTTTAACAAGGACTAGTGGGAAAAAGACATGAAAGGGGGCCTCTCACATGCTCAGCACAGGGCTTGGCCCACAGCGTACACTGGCTTGATCATTGTCCTCATTGTTGGATTATATAATAGGACAGGAGGAGCGGTCCTAAGAAGAATGATTTGAGCAAGGCCAGACTTGACCAGAATGTCCCCAAATTCCCTTGATGAGGTCATGACACATTTTTGAGCCTCAGGTTTGTCATCTTTCTGATTAGAACCGTGGTACTTGCCTTTCCCATCTGGGCATGCTGCATTGAGAATCTAATGAGATTACACATGGCAATCCTGCGAGAGGCATAAGCCTCTATTCAAACAGGAGAGGCTGACCCTGAAGCCAGAGCCAACTTCTAAAGTATCAGCTCTGCCTAAGAGTTCTATTGCCATCTGTACCCTTGGCTGAACCCTGGAATACCCTCCCCATTGTCCACACTAGGCCCTCCTCACTGGGAAATGGCCGCCAGCCCTGGGCCACACCTAGCGTCTCCAAGCCCCAACATCTGCCCCTGTCTCCTACCCCAACGCTGACCCACTCAAAGAGTTGGCTGCCACTCCAGGGACACTCTCATGGCATATGAAGATTCGCCCCTTTCACCATTTCCATTGCTGACAAGGCAAGTAGGAAGCAAAGAATTAGAACCAGACTTAAAAGGAATCTTACAAAAGATGTCATCTGAAGCAGCTGGGCTCTGGAAGGGATCCAGGGATGGATGAAGGGGACCATTCTGTGGTTTCCATAGCATCATCAGCCTGAGCTAAGACAGGTTTCCTGGAGGTCTTCTCATTATGCCACAGACCCCAGGGTCCCACCTTCCTGAGTCTAGAAGGTGGCTCCTTAGCACCTAGTACCCCCCAGGGATTAGCGAGAACAGTCAGTAAGAAACACATAGCAGTACAAAACTGCTGGCTGTCACCTGTGTCAGGATGACCTGGGCACAGCAGTGGGCTCAGAAGACTGCTAAGCCCTTATCCTTTGGGGCTTTAGTGGTACCCTAGGGAGATACCTAGGCGTGAAAAAAATAACTAAACTTCAGTAATATATGTGATGTGCCTGCAAACCTTAGGATCAGGGTCTTAGGATGTCAGAGGACAGGAGAAAGATCTGGGAATATCTAGCAAAGCTTTCTGAAGGAGATAGGGTATGACCATGACCTTAAAGGACAGAAACTGGTGGTGCCAGGAAGCCATGATGAACCAGGGTAGCTGCTGGATTGTTCAAGACTGGCGGAGGAACCAGTTTTGGTTTTTGAACCGAGCAGACTTTTGGCTGGTGGATTCCATGTCTCTGACCAAACAGACATGGTGCACTAAATACTGGGCCAAGGGACCAAAAGTATTAACCACAGAATTTACCAGCGCCTAATAAGGTAGAGCTGGCTGTTTTTTTCTTGCCTAGATTTTCAACTCCAAAATGAGAAGTTTCCTAAACTGTGCCTGCTTTTAAGCTTCTGCCTAAGTCTTTGTCTTTAGTTCTAAGCATTTTGGAATTGCTGTATAAGAATATTTGGCAATAGTCATGCATGCATGTCACCTAAGTAACTTTGACTCTGTACATTTGCCCAGAGGAAAAAAAAGACAAGAGTATTTGTAGGACCAGTACCCACTGACAAAGACAAAACACATCAGACAATCAAGGAGATAATGTGATTCTGGCTGTGAGAGTATGGAGAACATTCATTCATTCATTCATTCATTCATTCACTGAGGCTGGCCTCGAAGAGAAAGCGGTCTGGGACTTTTAAAAGGCAGGTAAACGAGGTGTTCATGACAGAGTCTCATGGGACTCATGGGACCCATTTCTAAAAATACACAACATCACAGCAGTCCTTGGTGGGTAGAACACAAAGGTGGGGAAACTTCTATAATTTCCTTTCTAGGAGCACAAGGCTTGGGCCAGTTTAACATTGTCACCATTTAAGGAAAACTATGACTCTGGTTACCTTTCCACTCTGACAGGGAACAAGCATACTGCGGCTGCGTGTAAGACGGGAGAGTTACACTGTCATGTGTCTCTCTCTGTCTGCTTCTTGTCCCCTTGTCCCTGATTTTAGTGTCAAAATGTGCAGTTTTTTTAAATGTGGCTCTAAATCCAAGTCACAGACCTCATCTGGTACTCAAAGATGTTTCCTCCAAAGAACAGACTATCGATTTTTACTTTGGAGAGGTGATACTTGGCTTCCTACAAATTGTCTCCAAACTCACTTCTCACTGAATGTGCTGGTCTTAACCTTCCTCCCCTTAGGTAACATTGGTCTCTGCTTCCTGGAGGAGCATGTTGGAAATGAAGATACAGCATTCGTGGCAGGGCTGTTGCTAGGAATGTCTTTGGTGGCCCCTGATGTTGCCTGTTTCCTGAACAGATCCTCCAGGAGCTGGAGTATGGCCCCTCTGTGGACTGGTGGGCCCTGGGGGTGCTGATGTACGAGATGATGGCTGGGCAGCCCCCCTTTGAGGCCGATAACGAGGACGACCTGTTTGAATCCATCCTCCATGATGACGTGCTCTACCCTGTCTGGCTCAGCAAAGAGGCTGTCAGCATCCTAAAAGCTGTGAGTCACTGCCCTGACCGGGGTCTTTGTTCTCTGGGACACACACACATTCCTCCCTCTTCTCCTCTGCATCTGCTTGCTGTGGAGTGGAAGGAGCTCAAGCTGGGTTCAGAGGTACCGCTCAGAACGAGGTCTGGGACAATTACTCTTCTTGGGGAGAGGGACAGTGTGTGTGTACTTCCTGAAGCTGTCTCCCACATCTCAGAGGGGGAAATCCAACCCAACACGTGTCACACCCTTTGCTGCTTACACTGGGAGTAGGATCCTCCTCCTCTGTCACCTGGGTTCTGTCTGGGATAGGGAAGAGAGGAAGATTAGCGAGAACAGGTCCCACCTATGACCATGACAGCATCACAGAAAAGATGTCCACTCAGGATCCATGAGCCAATATTTAGTTATTCATGTGTGCTTTTCAGAGAAATTTATGTCACTATTATAGATGTAAGTCATCATATGAAAGTGTTTAAAAGTCTTTAAATTGTTGTACAGGTATGTGGATACAAGGGTACTTTCTGTCTCTTTTGCATCATCCACTGTTTGACCTCAGCCTCACCCGGCTCTGCTGAAGCTGCCGGGACCCCTGTTCACTAGCTCCACTGAGTCTGGGTCCTTACTGCTCTGGCCCTGGATGCTGCTTCTCCTGCTGTCCATTCAGGTGGATGTTTTCAAGTGCTGGCTCAGGAGCACTTTCACAGAGAGATTTATTCTGTCCACCTCCTTGAAAACTCAGAACTTGCCACCCTCCTGGTACCCCCTTACACTGTTGTCCCTGAGAGCATTTTCCTCTTCTGACATCCTGTGTAAGTTATCTGTCAGGCTTACTGCCTGTTTCCTTGCACACAGAACTCAGCTCCTTAGGGCAGGAGCATTGCTTCATAAGGAACCCCTGCGGGCCGAGAGCCTGGTATGCACAGGCACGTCTGAGCATTTGCGGAATCACGCAAGGGGCAGCTCCCGGTGAGAGCCGCTCAGCTCTGAGCGCTTTTCACCACAGATGCAGTTAACGGCCCCCAGGAACCGAGACATGATGGGACCCGTGACCTCAACACGGAGGCAGAGTGTTAAGGACAGCCCATACCTGATTCAGGGTGTCCACTTCTTGGGTACAGCCAACTGTTACCCTGTAGCAATGGAGACATCATCTCAGTCCTGACTTCCAAAAGGAAACCTGGACCTAGACCTGTGTGTAAAATCTCCTGTATGGCAAATGATTATGACCAGTTGAATCAAAAGGAGTATGGAGCCAAAGCAAGCCTCTCAGAGGGCGAGGGCACCTTGGGTGCCAATCTTTGACTCTTGCCTTTCTTGGTCCCTTGATGGTATTGCTTATTAGTGCCTATATGGTCCCTAAATGGACAAACTAGTCATGATCTCACTCTTCCCCAGGACTGAGCCCTGTACCCTCCACCTCTGCCCCATACCCTCCATCCCTATGCTCCCTCCAGCCTGGCACTCTCGCCTGCTCTCAGTGTCAGCCCTGCAGTGTAGGGGTATGTATCTCAGCCAGATAACTCCACCTCACTGTCCAGAGACCCCTACATCCACTACAGCCCCAAACTGAGTGCATAATCTGCTCCTCATCTGCTCCAAAGCTCCCAGATCACTTCCATGCTCCTAGGTCCAGTAACTCTCCCCACCCCACCCACTGGCTGCACAAGGGAATGTGGGTGCACCCCTTGACCTCATCTTCTCCCTCCACATCAATCACAGAGTCCATCCTCTCCTAAAATATTCCTTTCTGATTGCCTTTCTCCATCTTCCTGCTACCACCATGCCACATGAGCCTCTCCTACCTCTCCTTTGGAGAACCACAGATCTCCAAGGGTCCCCCTTGCCTTCTTGTCATCTCTACACTTTGTGCATCCCCTACCTTCTGCCCCTTTTTAAAACTCAGCACAGCTGTACACTGTGGTCAGAGAAAGACTCATATTTTCAGTGTGGTCCACAGTCTCACTCAGGCCCCATCTACCACTCAGTGACCCTTTATTGGCTGGGCCAGCGGTGCTCACCGTGCAGAGGTTCTTCCCTGACCCTGATGCTCTTTGCCTTCCCCTCTACCTGGTCCTCCCAATGCCTCCTTCCAGTACCAGCTCCAGGTTGCTGTCTTGTACAATCATTAGGAACTTCCTTGCCCCAGAGGGACACCTCCCTATTACAGGTGCACAGATTGCTGGGTTTCTCTTGTGTCACTCATCCTGCATTAGCTATTTCCCTGTCCTGGGGAAAAAATACCCAACACCTGATAGAGACCACGATAAAGCAGCTCTGTGCAGGATTTAAAATTAATCAATTGGCTTTCTATGTTTACTTATGAGTCTGTCCCAGGCCTAGGCAACTTGCTTGGAGAATGGCAGCTGGTGTGCAATAAATGAATCTCTCCATGCCACCAGTCATGGTTGAGATCTGTGACACCTGAAAGGGCAAAAAGAGGCAAAGCTGAGGACCTGGCTCTGATTCTACTTTATAAGATAAAGACTACAGCAGCAGTTATTTGACTCCTGCTGTAAATGTCAACCTAGAGAAAGGCAGTTCTCTTAATTAGCAAAATTTATTGCTTTTATTCTAACTTTTTTTGTGGGCATTGGTACCCTCCACTTCCTGTACCACGCAACCTATGGAAATCTAATAAATACCGTGACCTGGAAAACTTGTAGACTTTACTCCTAGAGTTCTGACCTTCCTGGATCCCCCAAACCATACCACTTGCCTCTTTACTTAAGCCTTTGCCATAAGTCATTTTAGGAGGTCAGGGCCAGACCAAGTCCCTGATAAACACTCTCTACATAAAGGAGGAGAGGCTTATTTTTGGCTCACAGTTTCCATGGGGTAAGTCCATGGCCATCCAGGTTCAGATCATCTGCCCTTTTCAAGGCAGGGCATGGCAGAGGAACATGGCAGAGGACTGCTGCCCAACCTATGGCAGCAAGGAAGCAGGGAAAGAAGAATGAAACCTGGGACAAGATTACACCCTTCAGATCAGGCCCCTAGTGACCTACTGGCAACCATGCCCCACCTTCTGACAGCACATTCAGCTATGCACCCATCACTGGATTGACCCGATGATGATTATAGCACCCCATGATCCAGTCACCTTCAAAAGCTCCACCTCTGAACACATGAGACTTGGGGGTCATTTTAGACCTAAACCATAACCCATCCCGATCTCAATGAATTGACTGTTTGGTGGAGTTACTGGAGCCTTTTCCACCTCCCTTACTCTGGCATGCTTTAGGAGACCAAAGAGCATCTCTGCCATCTCCCATTTCTCATCACAGAGCACAGTGCAGAAATGAGACAAACGTGATCCTGGGAAGGATAGTCAGGTTAGGCTCTTGGCTTCTAAAGTGGCCTGTGTCCTAACACTCTGCAGCGCCTCCACGTTGATTTTCCTCCAGGAAAGCTAAGTCTTGGCTCAGGAGGGCTCTTGCACTGTTCAGCAGCAAGGAATCTGCCTTCAGGGGATTGAGTCACCCTAATTTTCACACTGAATTTGCTATGTAGCCCATGCTGACCACAAACTCATAGTGATCATCTTGCCTCAACTTCCCAAGTACAGAGATTACAAGACTATTATACTACACTTAGTTCACATGATCTTTAAAAGATGAAAAACTGTAAAAAGGGATACATAAAAAATTACTCCATCCTATCCTCACTTTTATCTGCCCGTTTCCTGCACCCTCAAGCCTATGGGTGACTCTGTTTTATGGATTTTTTATATATTCCAGAACTTCTTTAGGTATATATGAGCCATACAGATGTTGATTGGTATTTTTTACAAATGTTAGAAGGCTCTACATGTATCTTGCTTTCTCTGGCTGAGGGATCTCAACAGACAGGTGCCCCTTTATTTTGCCTGAGCTTCTACTTTGCAACTGTGATGAAAGCAGCTGCCACACAGACTTCTGGGGCTCCTGGGTGATTTTCAGGGGTGGAGACAAGAACTTTCTGCCACTTCACTTCTCCGAGCCCTATCTGGCACCCAGGAACAGCCTGTAGCACTGGAGAAGCCAGGAAGCCACGTCCAGACGAGGTGGTCACTGCCTGGACCCTGATACCAGCTCGACTGCCTTCCTGTGTTCCCTGTGGAGCTGGCAGCTGAGCCCTTTCATTTCTCATTTCTCAAAACTCAAGAGTGGCAGATCTTCACTAGGGGAGATTTTGCCTCCTCTTCCCCTAGACACACTCATTCGACAAAGTCTCCAGAGGTTTGCATTGACATAACTTGGCCCCAGGGAGCATTGCTACTGGCATGCAAAGGGTAGAAGCCAAGAGATTGCCAAACACCCTGCAACGCACAAGACAGTCCCCACAGCTAAATGTGTCATCCAAATGTCAGTAAGATTGAGAAACTTCTACCAAGAAAGAGTGATAAGTCAGAGACTATGCTGTGTTAGAGGGTTAGTGTCTGTGAGAAGACTTGGAAGCTCAGGGGAGGCTCCCCAAGATGTTCCTCCCTACCCAACATGCTCCACCCCTCCCACCCTAGAAGAAGGAGGTGGGAAGAACTGAGGAAGTGAACAGGAATCTTCTCCCTTGGCCTTGGGACACCCCACTTCCTCACATTGTCTCTTGATTCTAGAACCAGGGCAAGTTTTCTTTGCGTCTGGCCACAAGCTGTCCCTGAGGGCTGCTACATATGTAAAGGTGGCACTAAATTCTAGAGAAGGCTTATTACACTGTAGAATTTTACAGTATTCAACCTATGCAACAGTAAGTGGCCATCCTCTCTTCTTCAGCGTGTCATCCTCAGGCCCAGGCTCAGTCACTGCAGTTTACTAAGTGCACAGAAGAGGCAGACATCAAGCCACGTGCTGGACACACTAGACTGAGAGCTTACCAAGCAAAAGAAATATTAAGATAAATTATAATGTGTATAAACAAACATTGGGTCCAGCGTATCAACCAAGGGGGAGGATCGGGGGGAGCTTCTCAGAGGAGGCAGCATTATGACTGGTGCTTAGAGAACCATTGGCACTGGAGAGGGGCATGCAGCCCAAGGGATTAAGGTGACCAAGGCTCAGAGAGAGACAGGCTTTCAATGGCAAAGGTCTCATGAGGCAGGCAGAAATGTGTGCTGTGGGCCCTCAAGGTGCTGGAGCAGGAGTGATCTTGCTGTTGGAAAAATTAGGAAAAGGAAAGACATTGCTTCCATTCCAATCTGAGTGCCCCAGGGCACCCCCCTCCCCCAACATTTAGCCCATGCCCCAGCACATCAGGCCAGGAATAGTAGGAGGCTGTCCCTGCCCCAGAAATCTCCCTTGCTGATGAATCCTGAAACTCAACCATTATAGACTTATCCCTTTAGGATGTTTTTTGTCCTGTCTGGTTTCTTTGTTTAGATAGAGATGTGTCGCTTTCACCCTGTGAAATGTACCACTTTGTCTCGAATGTATACATAATATATGCACAATATACACACACGTGTACACATGCACAATGTGTGCACACCTGTATTTGGATTGGCTGTCAGAAATATTCCCACCTGGTAGCGTTTCAGTTGAAGTTATACTGCTATCAATGCAAGACAGTGGACATCACCACTGACTCATTTAATGAAATCCCTTGGGGATAAGAGGTTCACAAGACACCACCAAAAAGTACAAAGCACACCAGTGTGGTTGTAAAAGTGAAGAGGGGCCAGGTCCAGGAAGAGGAGAGGGCCAGGAGGGATGTTTGACATTTACCTACTCATGCGTAACTGTCTTTCCTCACCCCAGTGGATTCGCCCTGTCACTGTAAAGGAGTTTGTCAGATAGTGACAGCTTGAGGGTCTGAGGGGGATCTGGGAGTCATTAAGAGCCTGACATCTTAATCTCAATTAAGTCCCTTGCTAGCTATGTGACTGTGGCACAGTTAATTAACCTCTCTGTGCCTCAACTATATCTCCCTTGTGAACCAGAGCTGATTGGATAAAGGGATAAAGATAGATTAAGTGAACTGAAAACATGTAACCTATGACACCTCTGCTGTGGTTGGAATGGTGGCTGGCACTTGCTACACCTGGGTAAATCATCGCACGTTCCCTAAGAAGTTACGCCCTTCACAGTACCAAAGTAGGCTTGGGAGGAGATTGGCACCACAGTCGAGCTGACTTTCCATCTGTCACTCGTGGGTGATTCTTTTCTGTGTCCTCATCCCATAGTTCATGACCAAGAACCCCCACAAGCGCCTGGGCTGTGTGGCTGCACAGAACGGCGAGGATGCCATCAAGCAGCACCCTTTTTTCAAGGAGATCGACTGGGTGCTCCTGGAGCAGAAGAAGATCAAGCCGCCCTTCAAGCCGAGAATTGTAAGTCAAGCCCCGAGCCTCTTCTGCCCTTTGGGTCAGGCCGGCCACTTGCTTCTCACTGCATGTGCCAGGGAAATGGGATGTGTGTCATGGCCCAGATGACAAAAGCCAGAGGTGGAAAAGAATCCCCAGGGCTGGTCTCTTAGGCCTCAGTATTGACTGAAAACATGTAACCTATGTGAGTAGCTAGAGTAAAATCTGACATGGCCACAGACAAGCACGTCTTCTTCAGTTCAGGTTTACTTCTTTGGATCAGACAGTTCCCAATGGTGCAAGCCTTCACCTGGGGGACATGTACGGCTTCCTTATAGATCAGTGGGGCTCTTTCTAAAGGAGCCCATTTAAAGGAAAATGGCTCATTTTGTGGTCATATGCAGCATGAGTGTGGAGTGTGAAGTCAAGGCTCCGACTGTCCAGTGAGAACTGTGAGAGTCTCACTTGGAAGAGGCCAGTTCCTGGGACCGTTTCAGAGCCTCTTCTGCTCTTAGTCAGATGCCAGGCTGTGAGGTGCCATCACCAGTGAGGGAGGAAAGGGTATCTGAAGTTCAGAGGTTGCAGAAGAACTCATCTCAGAAAACACAGAGCATGTCTCAGGAGTGGCCCTCTGCTGGGGTGCAAAGGCCTTGGGGTGCACTTCGAGGTGGAAGGAAGTAGATGCAGAGGGACCTTAATTCTTAACTTTGTGGTGAGGCTCCCATGAGGCCTTCAGTCATCCAGATGGAGGATGCTTGAAGCCAGCTGGCCACCTCGTGGAGCTGAAGCAGGGACTATGACATAAGAGATTATTGGCCAGCAACCCATAGCTACGAAGCTGGGGTCCCAGGCAGGAAAGCCTCAGGATCATCCAGTCATCTCTCAGTTATCCACATTCCGTCAGAGGAGGTCCCTCCATACTGCCGAGTACAGAGATCTGCAGACAAGAACCCCATTCTACTCAAGGGCCATTTATCAATAGTGCTGCAGTTCCTAACAGTGTTCCATGAGGGTGACCCTCAGCTGACAGACACAGCGAGCCTGGTACAGGGGTCTCGAACCTGTCATCATTCTTCATGTGTGTCCTCCTTTGGTTTGCATGGCTTTTGCAGGGGAGCACACAGCTTGGGACAGGCTAGAACTATATTTGTCTTTCTCTGTTAACCTCTGCTGCACCCTGTTCTAATCATAGCCCCGGGGGACCCCTGTGCCAAGTCCATGCTATGAGTTTGGTGGGCCAGGAAGGCTTAGAGTGCCAGCTCCTCAGGCTGTCTCTTTCCCCACTGCCACAGAGCTCCCTGCATGTGCCATCCTGCCTGATAGCTGGGCCTCCACAGGCGCTCATGAAGGATAAGATTAACCAAGCCTTCAATAATACAGAAAGTCATTCACCTGAGGCCTAGCAGAAGAGGAAGAAAAATTACAGGCTCACATCTGAGGATGAATTTATATTAGATTTAGTCTAAGTTAATCAATTCCAAGAAAAATGGGGAGTAGACCTAAGTAAAGAGTTCAGGCCCAACCAGCAGAAACTCAGGAAGACGTCAGAAGCTGAGCGGATGTCAGTACCCATCTACAGAACGCCTTGGACTTCCCCTAGAATCCAGGTCAGCACATCCCCTTCAAGCAGGCTCAGGCAGCGCCAGGTTCAGCCGAGCCAGATGGGGATGGAGAAGCAGCCCCTCTCTCTGGTGTAGAGTAGAGGGGTCTGGAACATGGGCAGCGTGGGTGTGAGGGGAGCAGTGGCTGGAGTGTTAATCTGCAGTGAGGATTCCCCCTTGGAAGGAAGCTTTATCCATAAAGTCTAAAGTAAGTCTAAAGGCCATTTTAATGTGGGGATTTGTGGAGACAAGTCTGTCCCTGAGTGCAGTAGATGACAAGAACTTACAGTCAGAGGACTGTCCTAGGTGCTCTTACTCAACCCTAGTGGAGTTGCATGCTCTAGGATTCAAGTAGCACTGATACTCCTGTCCCAAAGCCCTTGCCAAGGCCTCAAGTCCCAGGAGTTCCTCACAGGGATTTCGGCCTTTACAGTAAGGCACAGACCTCCAAGAAGTCGTGCCTGGAGCCCAGCCCCTCCTCAGTGAGGGACAGGCATGTGGGGACTGTGTGCATGAGGCTTGGGTAGAATTCAACACAGGAGAGAGGCAAAGCGTAAGGAGAGAACGGAGAGGAGGCCACCGTGTGCAGGCTCACACAGCCAGGAAGCTTCTTCCTGCCATCCCTGGAGCCCTGCAGTGCTCCTGTGGGCAGGGTCTGAGGAGCCCCTGAGAACTAGCAGAAGGAAGTCCTTCTCCAAGGAGGATTCCTAGAGCACAAGCCACCAGGACTTTCTGAGAGGTTGGCAAAGAGAAAGGACCTGTCCCGCGTACCCGCTCTGTCCCAAGACCTCGGGTTCTCCTGAGCACTGGGGTGTGAAGGACCCCGAGGAGGGGGCGCTGTTAGGCTGATGTGGTTTCAGCCAGGAGGAGGGAATTAGACATCTGGCAGCAGAGTGCATTTTAGGCATTGTGCTGGGGGCGTTTCTGGTCACACTTGGCTGACCTACATGGGCGCTCTCAGAGCACTGTTACAGGTCCTCAGAGCCTTGTGCAGTCTCCTTGAATATTTAATCACATGTCTGTCCCCAGTACCTGAGCTTTCTCTTGAGAGAAAATCCAAGTTAAAAAAGAAAAGAGTAGAGGTAGCTACTTAGCTGTCTGGGGCATCTCCTGACTGTGGCCCTAATTAGAAGACACTCTCATGAAACAAGGAGCTGGCATCCACCTGCATCACCTGCGGGCTGGAGTTTGGTAAAAACAGATGAGAAGTGGGTTTAATCTAGTCAGTGACTCAGAAAGCCAGCAAGGCCAGTGTGAAAACTCACACCAGGTTTTTACAAGCTTCCCCCACACCAACTCGGGGTTCTGGGTGTGTGCCCAGTTCAAATGGGCACACACCCAGCGAGGACACTTCTGTGCTCCATAAGCAGATGCAGCCTTAGTGCAGAGGGCAGAATGGACTGCCACCCACAGGAGGTCACTGGGGAGACACTGGGGAGTGAGGCAGGACCCCACAGAAGTCGTCCTTCTACTCCTAGGATAGGAGCTCCATCTCAAGCCTGGCTTTCCATGGGCTGAAGGTGTCGTAGAACTTGAGTCCACATCTGTTACCTTCGTAGGAAAGCCGGGAGGAAAGGGCTTGACAGAGAGAGAAAGATAAGCTAGCTCAGAGCCTGGCCCTGGGAGAGAGCAGCCAGGGATGGTGTGAGCTGGGACAACTCCATGTCAAAGGAAAGACAGCACAAGAAGGGAAAGATGGAGCCTGTGAGCAGATGTCAGTAACCCAGCAGTTGTAGGTTGTTGCAAGAAGATATCAGGCATGTGTTTAAAGAAGCCAAGAAGGCAGGCACGCAAATGCCCCTCATCCCCAGGGAGATGCAGTCAAGAGCTGCAGTCTGGGAGCTCTGTCTGGGGCTGGCTCCCAAGCTGTGCTGCTGTGACCTCACACCAGGATGCCACCATCCCCAGAAATCTACTCAGTAGATATCACCCAGCTGTTCAGCTAACTATACAGAGCCTGAGTCACCTAGTGGGGGATATCCTGTCAGTGTGACTCAGGAAGGGATTGGTTTTAGCAGTTAGCTTGTTTGGTGCTAGAGGCAAGACCAGAGTGGTCACATCAGCCAGTCTTAGACCTGAGAAAGGCGTAGTTCCAGTGGCATGTTTTTCTAGAGCCACTGGCCCTGCCCTCCCACCACGCAGATGCACATGGACCCTGCCCTCTCGCTGGTTGCTCTTGCCCATGGGCCTGAGGATGTTTCAGAACAGCTCCCAGGCCTACCTCCCACCCCTCTGCAGGAAGCTCCTGCCCCTCTAAAGTTAGGGAAGGCTGTCCAGGTTTGGGGCTAGAATTTGGCCTTTGGCCATGTTCTATGGTATCTCAACTAGCTGCTGTCCCTTTGGCCTTCTGCCTTCCTGAGAAGTTGGCTAAGCTGAGATTTTTGCTTCCTTGATGCACAAGCGTCCCTCTGTAAGGCCTGACTTTACCTCCCGCTAGGTTTCCTGCCTTCAGGTTGTCCCCTGTCCTGACCTCACCCAGGACGCTTCCAGTGGCCTCTGCTTCAGCAGGGAGATGTCCCTCTCATTTGTTGTCCATAACTCCTGGTTATATTCCTCCTGGCCACCCCCTACCCACCCACACACTGAACAGATTTTGTACAAGTGATGTGGCAACAATTCCTAACAAAGACCTTATGCCAACATTTACTCACATTCGTGTCCTGGGGGTGGCTGGCTTCAGAGCAGAGGTGCACAGAGGGGGACATTTGATGGCATCACCCAGCAATGGGGGGCAGGTGAGTAAGGAAAGCCAATCAGGCTGGTGCCAAAGCCTTTGATACCAGGAAAAACGTCCACACGAGGAGTCCATTGGTGTATCTGCTGGGGATTTTCTTTTGGGAAGGTAGCTTAATCTTATCACAGTGAAAGTAGTGTGGATAGCTCTTGTGCTATTGGTGGACTTACCTTCTTTCGGGACTGTAGGGACAGAGTGACTTATTTTGTTGAAGGGATCATCCGATCTTGTAGATCTTGGGGATACTCTGCTGGTTCCTGGCTTCCCTCTTGGATACCCATTCCAGAGCATAGACCATGATACAGTGGCTCCCAGGGCTTCACTGCTGGAGTGGGGGTCACCAGTGTAGGAGGGAGAACTCTGCCTCCCCAGAAACCAAGCTGTCCTCAGCACCAAAAGCAATGAGGGAAATGCTGGCCGAGTAAACTTCTCTTGTGTACGTGTTCTCTCTTTTCAAGTTTGCTTCAGTGTGAATGTCCCTCTTTAAGGTAAGGCCTCCAGAGTGGGGAGTCTCTCCAGGTAGGTGAGCCCACAGGCCCGGTGACATAGAAGCCCCTTTCAACCTCATGATCGTCTCCATCCAGCCATCCATGCTGCATGGCAGGACCCTGAGGGAGGCCCCTCCTGCATGCTTCTGCATGACTGGGCTGTGCTGAGAGAAAACCTGGGAAGTGGGCTCGTGACAGTCACACCCTCACGTACCGAGTAGCTGGAGGAGGAGCCCAGCTGAGCCGGCAGCCCCTTCCCCAAAGCCAGCCCAGCTGCCCAGGGACCATGAGAACATGAGGCTAGAGGACCATTAGGTGCCATTCTCATCCCCTATCCTGCTGGAGCAGGAGCAGGACTCACTGCATCCATGCCATAGTGAGAGACCTCACACCCCTAGAGACCAGAGGCTCCCTCACAGAGTTAGGGCTCTCTCCCAGGGCTGGAAATGTCCAATGGGGACTGGCTCTGATTCAAGGGAGACCTGGATTGGAATAAGATTGCTCCCTCAGAACAGCCATGTGATCCTGAGGATTGACCTCTGACCTGGACCTCTGGCCTCCTTACTTGTGAAATGGGTTGAAAATACTCCCCTCACAGAGCTGTAAACAGGGTGAATAACAAACCTGAGAACGATGCTCTGTGCCTTACACCTGTGGACCCCGCTGTCCCCTAGCCACCCCGTTCCCAATCCTCTGTAAGCCTCTCCCTCTTGTTCCAATACTCTAAGACCCAGAGCTCAGGATCTCAACAGTGGTGTGATGCTTAGAGACTGGTCTTTGGAGTCCAACTCAGGCGGGTTCCAGTGTGCCCTGTGGATTCTTGCAGTGATCAGCACAGGGCCTGACATACACCAAACACTTTGAATCATGAGGAAGACAGCTCGGGTCTGAGGTTTGGGTAGGCTGATATAGACACACTGCTGCTCCAGAGAACCAGAGGACAGGCCTCTAGATGAGAAGGTGGCATATCTAGTTGGGTGGCAGCTATAAAAGGGAAGAAAGCCATGGGGAGACCAAGAAGAAACACAGCTTAGTGTTCTATAGAGAGCTTGTGTGGTCTAGCCCCCCAAGACTACTGGGCTGAGCCAGGAGAATCTCTAGAAGAAGGAGGCACAGCAGAAGGCCAGCTCTCCGCAGATGCCCGGTCCCAGCCTTCTCCCACTTGAGATCGTGTCCCAAGTTCCTCACAGCATCAGCTGTGCCCTTTTATTCTACAGATTGCTCACCACTCTTACTCTCCTTTCCTTATCCATGGTGGTTTTACTAAACTAGCTGCTCCCTCCCTCCCTGTGCTGTTGGTGGTCACCAGTGAGATGTCACACTAGTGCAGTAGATTCCCGCTAAACTAAGCAAATGTGCTTGGGCATCTTGGACTCTGCACAAAAAATCCTGTCATCTAAGAATTCTTTGAGAGCAGGAAGATTGCTATGGCCTGGGTGAGGAACCTGCCACTATAATGTGTTAGTCCCTCCCTCACCCCAGTTTCCTCCTCAGCGAGAGTCTGGCCCTGGCCCAGCTGGCCTGGGCTTGGTTGGGCATCTCTATATTGTGCTCCTTAGTTTTTCTTTATGACTGAATGGCTGTTAGGTTGGGCTGTGCCTTTGTGGGTTCATCAAAGTAGTGTTTATTGAACATCTCCCTGGCCTGCTGGTGCTTGGAGTAATACACAGGGCCCACCTGGGAGCCATGGAAGGCTGGCTAGGGTGTGTGTGGTGGAAAGAAAGAAAAGCAGGAGAAATCAGGAGGGCTTCCTAGAGGGATTGGATCCACAGAGAAAAATTGGAAGGGTTAGGAAAAGAAAAGCATCTACTTCTAATCATCAGGGGTTTATTGAAATATACTTTCTTTGCAGCCCTGAAAGGGAACATTGGCAAAAGGAGGGAAATAATCCCCTGCCAACACCTAGTGGCACCACTTTTGGAAGTTTAAGGGATGGGAAAAACTCTGTAATGTAAAATACTCAAAGAATAATGGGAAGTAGGTTAAACTCTAGAACTTCACTAACACAGACACTTACTGAGGAGGAGAGTTTTGAGCCTTGCCTCTTACATTTGGACACAGAGGGTGAGAGATGGCCTGAAGGCTTCTCAAAACAGGCTGAGAGTGAGGGCCTGTGCTTCTGTGGGGCCAGGAGCCTTGTCAAGCCTCTCTTCACCCTCAGACTTGCAGGAGGTCCCGTTCAAGTGGGGCCACATTGCTGGAGGAGCAGTGCCCTCCTGCAGTCTCACTGAGGGCAAAAGGATGGTGTTGCAGCCAGGAATTCAGGACCATGTACATGGAGGCTGGTTCAGATGCATCGGAGTAGGAAAAAGAATCCACAGTTCCCCAAGAAGGGACCCATCCTCTGGTCCCTGAGCCCTAAAACCCACATCTGCTCTTTGAGGAGTACAGGCACATTCGACACACTGGGTGTCCCTGGGTCCACATCCACCTCCAAGCTAAGACTTTGAATATCCAGGGCCCATCTATCAAGGCAGAAAGAAGTTCTAGGAAATGCAGTTTTGCATTTGTGGGAGTTGGTGCCCTGTTTGTTTCCCTCATTTGTGTATCTGGGCTGGTGAGATACAAAACTGACTTGCCCTCAGTAGGGAATGGAAAGATAAGCCATGCCGAGTCGGGCGTTAGGTGAGATGACTTAGGTAATAAGCCAGATGTGGAGACTTTGGCCAGCATCTCTGCTGGTGTCCGGCAGCAACATGGTTTGCAGTATCCCTAGGGAGGCATGACAGATGGGCCACAGGTATCTGGGATATGTAGGTGTTCCACCAAATGACTCAAAATACAGTCACCCCAAAATAGAGGACTTCAGAATTATGTACCAACCCTGTAAGCTCCAGGAGGACAGTAGAGAGAAGTGGGTGCTGGACCTTGCCATTACTCTCTGTACTGCCAAGCCAGTCCTGGGAGCTCCTGCTCCTTTTCTATAAAATGAATCATGCAAGTAATCGTTAAGGTTTCCTCCATTTCCTCCTCCTCCATGTAAACATGCTTTATGACAGCAGGGACTTAATAGGGTTTTTAAATCAACTTCAGTGCAACAAAATTTACATAGGCTTTGGTATACTCATTTCAAATGTGTAATTGATGTGTTTTGTTTTTTGCTTGGGTGACATTACTGCAGACCAAAGGGCTTTTCACATGCTAGTAAGTGTTTGTACCACTGAGCTGTACCTTCAACCCCTAACAAGTGTCAGTGTATCCACCCCGTTGCACAGAATAAAACAACGTTTGTATACTCCCCACAAATTTCCTGGTTCCAAGCAGTTCTCATCTATGTTCTGTCACTGATGATTAGATTTGGGTTTCCTGGATTTTCGCATAAATGGAGTTACATAGTATGTGTTTTTATGTGTCTGGCCTCTTTTACTCAGCATCATGTTTTTAAGAGGTGGACTTTTTCAATCAATAGTGAAAAAATTCAATCACATGCTCAGAAAACCAATCACATACTAACGTAGAGAGAACCCCCTACTAAATCATTAATCTATATTTGTGAATAAATCAATTCAGTTGATATCCATTTTTCTAGAGTATTTCCCAGATCCATGTCTAAATTCTCTTTTCTGCTTTTATGGCCCCCCACTGATTCTAGTCTATGCCTGGAAATTTGGGGTGATTAGATCCTGCATTAGGAAAAATGAAATCAGTGTTGAATGGTGAAAGAAGGTGGGTGACCTCATCTTGACGGGAGAGGCGCATATTCAAATGTTTGCAATTCCTGTTTCAAAGCCAGCAGGCAACACAATAAAAAATCCTAAGCCAAGAGAACTGATCTCTATCTAGAACATTTTCATAAATAAGGCAAGGGGGGAGATTGGCGAGTGGAAGAACATGACCTTTGCCAGGACCATCCTGGAAATGTCTCCTTTGGTACCAAAAATATCCCTGGAGTAGCTAGACCTCAGCAGCTGTTAACAGTGACAGTACATGAAAAGTGGATTCTAAGGAAAGAGGGGTTGCATCAGTAGGGACAGAGTGAGGGCAGGGTGGCCACTGTTTGCCTGCCTGCTTCCAGGTGGAGATTCAGGCTCCTGATGCACCCAGCCCGGATCCTGCCCCTGCAAGTCCCATTGCTCAGCACGGTCAGGCCGCAGGCAAGCCAAGGCAGGCAGGAGCTACCTCCTCCTCCTAAGACTATTTCTGGATACCCATGCCGTGTTTTCTATGCCATGTTTGATCTCTGGATCCCCAGAGACCGTTTGTCCTATTTCAGGGTTCACTTAGTCTTAAGTTGTCAAATCACTTTAGTGAGCCAGGTGCAGGGGAAGAAAATTAAATGAAGCATAGGATAGGTGAGGAGATGACAGACCACGAGAGGAGAGGAGATGATGGGATGGGATGGGATGGGATGGGATGGGATGGGATGGGTACTAGAGCAAAATGCAGAACTTTTCACAGGTATTAAAGTAGAGCTTGCTGAGTTTCCTTAGGGTGCTGACATGGGTTGATGTGCATGTTTCTTAGGATCATAATACAAGTTATAAGAGTGATGCCCTGCTATACTCTTGATATCTAAGAAATGGCCCCAAAAAGGCCTAATAGGAATGGTGGCCTTTTGAATTGTTGGGAGTGTGGAGTCAGAATACAATTGTTTGTTTTTAGTGCAGCACCACTGCTGGCAGCTGGCAACCACTGAACTTAAAGCCTGTGCCAGGCAGAGTGCTTCATACTTGCGCACAGACAGCTGCACTGATGCCTCCCAGCAGATCGTGGTGGGAGGCAGGATGGTACATGCCAGGGAACCCAGTCTCTGGGTCACAAGAGCTGAACTCTACTCCTGACTATACCACCTCCTGGCAAAGGCAAGCTGTTTAACACCTTGGAGCCTGGTTCCCGTCTCCCTGACAATGGGGATGCATGGGCATTGGCCTGCCCTTAGTGTGGGTGTGGGATATGTGAGTCAGGCATCCAGGCACTTGGTGCAGTGCTAGACCTGACCAGGTCTCCAGCTTAGAGCTTGTGTTTTCCACATGAAAAATCTGAGCCTGTCACTGGTATGT